GTGAGCGACACTGCTCGGCGACTGCCGGCACACTGTGAGACCAATGGGTGTGAGGTTAAACCACGCTACCAGCGCTTGGTCACATCGGCCCCGAGGTCAGATCCTTCTACTCTGTTGATGACAAGACTTGTCTACTGGCTGCGGGGAGCCGAGCAGGAGGGCCCGGCGCACAACCCCCATACCCCGTCCAAGTCGGTTTCGCGGAGGGGTTCGCACCGAGGTCTCTGCGCGGGGGTGCGGGTCGGGCGCCAGGCCATGTCCCATGATGTAACCCTATCATGGCAGTTGGCAGATGGCACGCGGGGGTGCGGGATGTAACCCTATCATAAACCTCTTATTCACACCTTGCACTTTGAAAAAGAAATTTCCGACGTTAGTCGAAGATCCGGAGGGTTTATCGGAGCATCACCCAAAAAGTAAGTACGAGCGACCAGTACACCGACACATCTTGACTCACGAGCGTGGTATTCTGCTCGCTTTGGCTCGCTGCCCATGGCCCTCGCACCACTCAGCGGGCCGCCTGCCCGCCCGCGTCCGCAAGCTCTCGCTGCCACTGCGCCTTGCGTTCCAGTTTGCTGCGCTGGTTGATCTCAAGCTTCTCTCCGGCCGCCGCCTACAGATTTACGATCGCGCCTGAGGAGTTGCCAGGGAGGTGGGGGAGGCAGCTCCGCCCAAGCGCACCCGCCGCTCTAGCGCCTCGCAGTCGCGAATCTTGCGCTCCAGCCGCCTGCGGCGCGCCTGCTGCTCCGCCGACGCAGCCTCTTGCGACCTGCCCAACTTCTCCACCTTGACGCGAGGCTGATGCACTGATGCGGCCCGCTGGTTCGCAGCCGCGGCGCTTCGGTCCGCCAGCGCCGGCCCGGCTGTCAGCGCCTGCAGGGCTCGCTGCTGATCCGCCGTCAAAGCTTCGCCCGCTTTGGCCTTTCGAGCGAGAAGCTTGGCGAGGGCCTTGCTCGGGTCGCTCGTCGTCACTTGGCCGCCAGCCCACGCCATGGTTTTGACGGGCACAGGCGGCGGGTTGCGAGCCTCGCGCGCGAACCGCGCCCGACGCGCAGCGAGCAGCGCAGCGTCGCTACTCTGCATGTAGCTGCTAAGTTCGTAAGCCGTCTCTCCGTCTCCCTCGCTCGCTCGGCTCGGCTCGCGGCCAAGACGAGGGTCGCACAAAGATGAGGTGTTTGAAGACGAGGGTCGCACAAAGAATTACCAGACTACTTTATTACCCAGGAAGGCGTTTAAAGAGACTGCGAAGAGAGATAGGAAGAGGCAGACTCCCTAGGGTGGGCGACGGATAGCGCACCACACACCTCTCCTTAAAATCCCTGTGTGGTGGCGGCGTGCCGTCCTCCCATCCCTCCCTTGGGTTGTCTGTTTTCTTTCTTTCTTTCAAGGCGTTTAAAATCCCTGTGTGGTGGCGGCGTGCCGTCCTCCCATCCCTCCCTTCAGGTTTGAAGGTTCCACGAAAAGAATTTTATGCCCAGGTCATGCCTCCCTGTCTTTTTTACCCAAAGGCGTCTGTGTGTCGCTCGTGCGTGCCGTCATCATCTGTCCAGCCACCAGCGTCCACCCATACCGCGTTGGTGTCCAGTCCGAGCCTGGCGGTTACCTTTCTACTTAACCTAAAAGGCGTGCCGTCCTCCCACACAACAAAATCCTCCCAGCCATCCCTCCCTTGGGTTGTCTGTTTTGTTTCTTTTCTTTTTATTACCCAAACCGAATGCAGTTTTGCGACGGTGAATCACAGTCGCCTACTCGCCTTAGATCTATGCCACCGTCGCATACACAAGGCGACTGAGAGAAACAAACACACAATCTCTGATACACCGTCGCACTACGCTCTCGCGATTCACAAAAACGGCGGAGCCCTCGAGAGCAGATGGCCCGAGAACGGAGAAGCTCGGGGAGGTGTGTGTGTCGCCTGTGGCTCTCGTGTTGTAGTAGAGTCGGTCCGAGTGCGCTGTGCGGCTCTTTTTTGAGTTCCATAGCCAAAAGTACAGACCTCAGAAGAGTTCAAGAGGAGGCCTCTGTGGAGCGCCCGGCCTCCCCCTCGCTCACAGAGAAGAGAGCCCGCAAGCCGCCTCCTCATATCACACTGTACAGCACTGTACTCTGTAGTCGCGCTCCCTCGGCGACGCCGACCCCTCAGTCGCCGCCTGGCGAAGTGAGGTCGATGGGCTCCTCCGAGCTCGGGCGAGTTGCCGGCGAGCGGGGGCCCGAGTCGGCCGACTTTGACGTGAAGAAGCTGCGCACGTCGAGACCGCCTGACGCCTTGGGGGCCTTGGTAGCTTTGGGCACCGCCGCCAAAGCCGACGACGCCGCCGCCGACGAGGATGAGGACGAGCCCTTCATCATGTCGAGGACGCTGCGCTTCTTGCCGCCCGCGCCAGCGCCGCCCCTGCCGCCTGCGGGCTGCTTGCCGCCGGTGCCGGTGCCGGCCGGTGCCGCCGCTTGCGACGCGGGCCTCGCCGCGAAGAAGGAGGTGATGGTGGCGGGCGGGCGCAGCGCGCGAGCGAGTGCCTTCGGGTCGACGGGTGCGGCCGGCTCCGTCTCGACCTTGCGGTGCGTCGCTCCGCGCGCCAGGTTCCACTTGAGAAGTTCCTCCTTGAGGTCGGCCATGCACGAGCGCGCGAACCGCACGCCGAGCAGCCGCCGCCCATCGAGGATGACGCGGACCGCGCCGACGGCGCGGTCGCGCGCCGTCAGGTTGGCGCTGTGCTTCTTGGCAACCTCCTCGAGCACGGGCAGCATCGGCAGCGTCGAGCCGGTGATGAGCTGGATGCGTGTCAGCCGGCCGCCGATGCGCTCGTTGCACGCACCGTTGTACGCGGCCGTCCAGTCGGCTTCTGCTGCGGAGGGCGGCAGCACCCGCGCGTACTTTCGGTGCAGGTCTGTCCACGCCTCCTCGTACAGGCTGAGGCCGGTGTTTGGACGCGTGAGCACGGCCATGTGCGGCTCGCGCGCCTTCGGCAGCGCGAGCAGCAGCAGGTGCTCGCCGTACTGCGGCCTGCGGCTGCGGAAGATGCCTCCCCCCTCCTCCTCCCCCTCGCCCTCGCCCTCCTCCTCCTCCCCGTCCTCCACATCGCCGCTTCGGGCAGCGGCCGGAGCGGCCTCCTCTCCGGCCTCCTCCACGCAAGCCTCCTCCTCGCCGGCCTCCACCCCGCCGCCCTCCTCCGCCCCGCCGCCCTCGCGGCTGTCCGCCGCCGCGTCGCCGCCGTCGGTGTTGCGCTTGGCGGCGGCGGCGGCCGCTCGCCAAGAGCGCAGCTTCGAGAGTGCGTCGGCAAACGAGACGCCCCGGTCCACTTCGACGGTCGCCGCGTGCGCCCTCGCCCCGGTGATTGGGTCGCGCCAGATCAGCGCCTCCGGCTCGAGGAGGCGGGCGCCGGCGGAGATGTCGGCGACGCCGGCGTCGTACCGGCCGTCGCGCTTTGCCGCCGAGACCACCTCCCGCAGCGCGGCCGCAAAGAGGTCGAAGAGCTGCCTGACGACTCAACAACCACTCCAATCAGGACTCCGCCCCCGCAGCGCGGGGCAGCAGAGAGGTGGAAGCGCTGCCGCTGCTGCGCGAGCGGCAAGCCGAGCATCCGGTTGAGGAAGCGGCGCACCTCGAGCTCCTTCTCGCTCCCCTTCTGCGCCGCGTCCAGCCCGGCGCGAGCCGACTCGATGGCGGCCGAGTCCGCCGCGAGGTGCGGCAGCACCGAGCTGTCGCCCGCGTAGGCGGCGGCGAGCAGCGCCTTGAGCGCCTTGCGGCCCCACGCGGTGTCCAGATTGAAGGTGTCGAGCGAGCCTGATTAGGTGTATGGACTCGTGTCATGCCCGGCACTTGGCGCGGTGTCCACGTCCAAGGTGTCGAGCGAGCCGATCTCGGCGCGCCGGTCGCCCTTGGTGAGGGCACCCATCGCCTCCAGCTTGCGCGCGACGCTCGAGCCGAAGCGCGCCTCGCCCCCCACGTCCGTGCAGAGGAGGACGTACCGCGGCGCCGAAGTCTGGTTGGCGCGGTGCGAGCGGCCGAGCTGCTGCACCGCCTTGTCGGCCGACCAAGCAAGCTCGAGCGTGATGTGGACGCGCCGCCGCTGGTTGGCGCTCCTCGCGTCGGCGTGCAGCGAGATGCCGGTGGATGCGGCGTCGGAGATGACTGCGACGAGCTTCTTGCCGTCCATGAAGGCGTTGCGCTCCGTCACGTTGAGCGCCTGAGTGGAGGAGCGGTGCATTCGTCGCCATGGCCATGAAGGAAGTCGCTTTTGCGTCACTCAATCTCGATCCGGGGCATCTCGCTTCAGGGCTCGAAGTACATCTCGGATCTCGGCTAGATCTCGCCTCCATCTCGCCAGACTCGGGCTTGGCGCGAGGCTGCGACGCCCACCCTCGCCCCTGCCGCACCACCCGCGCCTTCCGGCCAGTCATCTCCGCCACCGCCGCCGCGCCGCCGCACTCGTCGATGAGCAAGTCGAGCGCCGCCGGGGGAAGCTCGAGCTCGGCGGCCGCCTGCAGCAGCCGCGCCTTTGCCACCTCGCACTCTGGGTCGGCCTGCCCCGCCGCCTCCGCGTCCGCCGCCGCCTCGGCCCGAAGCCGCTGCACCGCCGCCGCCGCCGCCGCCGCCATAGCGGCGGCACCGCGCACCGCCTCCGCCGCCTCGGCCCGCGCTGTGGCGGAACGCGACGCCTCTGGTCGCGCCGCTGCGGCGCGCGCGGCGGCGTGCGCCTCGATGGCGCGCGCGGCCGCCGCCTCGGCCTTTGCGAGCGACTTTGCGAGCTCCTTGTCGGCGTGGCGGGTGGTCGGGAAGTTGTGCGCGATGAAGGAGCGAAGCATCTCTGCGCAGAGCGAGTAGAGCTCGCCGGAGGCCGAATCTCCCACTCGCTCGAGCGCCGCCTCGCCCGTCGACTGGAGTCCGACCACGACGCAGCTGCCGCTGCCGAGGGCGGCGCGGACCTCGGCAACAAGTGCCGGCACCTTGAAGCCCACGCACAGCTGGCGGAAGAAGCGCTGGTGCGCGCCCCAGAAGGCGCGCACGGTCGCCCCCGCCTGCGCGCCCGTCCGCTCCGCCGCCGCCTCGAGCGCCGGCAGCAGCTGCTGCGACCAGAACGCGGCGGCCGCGTCGAAGGCGGAGGCCTGCTCGGCCGAGAGCGGCGCCTCCTTGAGCTCGAACTCGGCGCCTTAATTATGAATCACGAGCCATTAAGGATGAGCGAGGGGCGCCTCCTTGGGAGCTCGCACTTGGCGCCGTGGTACGACAGGCCGCGTGAGAGGTAGGTGCCCGTCGCCTTCATCTCGATGGCGAGCATCTCGAGCCCTCCGACGCCGCGGTTCTTGACGCCCTCGACGAAGGCGTCGAAGTCGCGAAAGGAGGCGCCCGGGCCCCAGAGGCCGAGCCGCTCCATGTACGCCAAATTCGAGAGGTCGCTCGCGCCTAGAGGAGTCGATTGGGAGTCAAAAAGGAAGCCGTGGCCCTAGGCGCGGCTGGACGTGTCGCTCGCGCCTAGAGAAGAGAGCGGCGCATACGGAACAGAGGCAGGTAGTTGTGCATGCCAGGCTCAGGCCCGAGTCGCTCGCGCCCGTCGCAGAGCAGTAGACGACTCGCGCGAGCGGCAAGGCGCGCTGCAGCTCGCGCACCTGTGACACAAGGAAGCGGGCGATGAGCCAACGAAAGGCCGTGGCGCGGGCGCGCTGCAGCTCGCGTACCGCCGCCGCGACCTTGCTCGACGTCTCCTCCTTGCCCGTCCAATTCTTGGCCTTGTGGCACTCGTCGAAGAGCAAGCAGCCGTCGAAGGCTGGCCCGCCGCACCAGGCCACCAGCTGGGAGAGGCGGGACGAGCCGCGCGCCTGCCCGCAACTTTCTTGTTGTGGCTGGGCCGCCTTCGCTCTAGAAGCGGGGCTAGCCATGCGCCTTTTGGCCCGAGGTGGCGCTCACCTATCGGCAGTCAATGCTGACCTCTCAGTGAAATCAACACGGCCCGCATGTTGGCCCGAGGTGGCGGCTCACGAGCGTGGCATAGGTTGAGAAGAGGACGCCCGCCTAGCGGAGGGGCTGGCAACGGTCGGGGATGGTTCGGGGAGCGTCCCGCGCACACGCCGGAGGAGGACGGCTGCCTGCGACTCCTTTGATGCGCCCAGGCCCTTTGTCGCGCGGTCGAGCGAGGCGCAGCCGTCGTGCACGGGGCAGTGGCAGCCTACTCTTGACTCGACCGCTCCTCACAACGAATTCTTCAGCCGTCGTGCACGGGGCAGTGGCAGCCGAGGTCGGTGAGGTCGCGGATGGCGTCGTTCCGCAGGTCGGCGCTCGACGAGAACCAGATGTGCCGCGGCCTCCCGCGCGCGAGCGAGTCGAGGATGACCTATTCATTCTTGCTCATCATAATGAAGCACGAATCATAATGAGTGAGACATCGGCGCGAGCGAGTCGAGGAGGACCGCGGCGAGCTGCCGGCCCTTGCCAACCCCGGCGCCGTCGCCGAGGAAGAAGCCGGCTCGTGTCGGCGGGTCGGTCGGCATCACCGTGAGGTGCCGCTGGCAGGCCAGGCCAACAAACTGCAGCTGCAGCGACGAGAGCGCCCCGGAGGAGACGAGGTTCGACGGCAGGGCGTCCAGCAGCGGGTACGTGCACTGCGGTGGCGGCGTGGCGGCGAGAGACGCGGGCTCGGCCACGTCCGCCGGGTGCGGCAGACCGGGCGTCTCCGCGGCGGCCTCGAAGGACACAAACAGCTCTTCGGAGACAACGCCCAGGTTTGCCTCGTCGAGCTGCTGCCGCCGTGCCTCGGCCGCGGCGTCGGGATCGGCCGCGGCGTCGCCGTCTGATGGCGGGGCTGGCGGCGGCGGCGGAGGCTGGGCGTTAATCATCGGCTCGGTTCCGAGCCGCGCCGGCATGCAGACGGGGTGAGCGGAAGAAATTGCGCTCACGGATCCGCGTGCTCTCGAGAGGCGGTCTCTACCCTTATAAGTCTCTCGTGTCGGCGCCGACGCTCTTGGTTTAACCGTAGAACGTCCCAGCCGAAATCCGCCCGCCACGATCGATCAGTCCACAATCGTCGGCCCGCAGCGACCCGCAGCGATGGATGCCGCCGCCCCCCCGGCCCCTGCGGCTGACGCGCCGATGCACGACCGGCCTCCGTCGGATGGCTCTCCGGCCTCTCCGGCCGCTGACGCGGCCGCCCATGCTGCTGCCGATCCGGTCCCTCTCACGCTCAGCGATATCCGCACAAGCTACGACAACTTCGAGGTCGCCGGCTTTGGCCAGGTGCAGCCACCACCTGCTTGCCTCCATGTTCACGCTTCGCGCCCCTTCCCCCCCTCTGACGCCGCCGTATGACCGTAGGTGAGGGGCACGACTACCCGCCTGGAAGGCGCTCTCATCAGCAAGTCACCCAGGCACCAACTCCTGGGCGTTTACGCTTGACTACGAAACCATGCAGTGGATGCAGCTCGATCAAAACGGCGACGCCAACAGCTGGTCCCTGGGCGAGTACTCGCCCAGGATGAGGTGCGAGCCATGGTGCTCGACCCAGCGTGCACCAAGTCGCTCACATTCCGTGAGTTCGTCAACGGGCCGATCATCTCTCCAAGTCGACTGCGATCTCGGACTCCGACAACTGGACCGGTGCACCAGCCGCGGAGGACGATGGCTCCCTCGACGACATCCCTTCATCGACGGACGCCTTCACCGCCGCCGGCCCTGGGCCATCCAGCGCGGCCTCCGACGGCCTGCACGTGATCGAGCGGGTACAGAAACGGTGGCTGCCCAGCTCACACCCTAATCGATCTGCCTTAGGCACGGAGCCAACGGAGCCATCGCGCATGCCCGCATCGCGTGCGGCTCCGAGGTCTCCCGCCGAGACCGGCTCGGCGCGGCGCGTGGCCGCACGCCGCCGTTGAAAAGGCGAGATAGGACCGAGGGGAGAGCGCCGGCCACATCGAGCGAGCGCTGACGTGTAAGGTGTCTGTGCTGCTCCGGTGTGTGTGGGATTCTGCCTCCCCCCCATCTGTGCGGCGAGTTGTTTGCGGCGCGATGCCCGATCGTGCGCGATAGCCTCCCATTGTGCGTGGTGTGTCGGTGTGTCGGGGTCGTCCGGAGCGTGTGGCGGCGCCGTTGCCATCAGCGACTGCTCCACGTGCCACGACTGCTTTGACTGACGTGACTGACTGTGATGAGACATGAGAGCTGATGCGTGATGGATGATCTCCGACAACCCAAAACCAAAATGCAAATGCGGAGTGGCCCACTTTGGCGTGCAGATCCTGCGTCTCTCACTGCCCGAACAACAGAGACGGGTACCGCCGCAGGTCCCACACTAGTGTTTTGAAACCGCCGCAGCGACGACCGTGATGAGATGGGGCGGCCAAGATAAATTTGGTAAAATCGCCCCCCGCCTATACGGCGGGGCGGCGCGCCGTTGCCCCTTCGAGTCACCCCAGCATGCGTGGGAGCGCCTCGCCAGTCCAGGCCCCAACACCAGCGCTGCGCTGCAGCGGGAGCTCGCACGCGCCGAGTTGGCAGTCCTGCAGGGCGCTGCTGGACGGCACAAACGTGACAAGGGTTTCGCAGGTGGCCAGGAGGCGAGGCAGCGGCGCGAGCACGCGGTCGGATCTGGTATTCGTGGTCGGCGGCTTCAAGACGGGAACAACGTCGCTGATTCGTGCGCTCAAGCATTCCGGCCTCACCCCGGCGTGCAAGCCCGCCTGGTTCTCCAACGGTCCCGCAATGTACGATGCCTCATGGAGTCTCGCTGCGGTAGCCGAGTTCATCGCGTCGCCCTTGGCTAACAACACCTCACTCGGCCAACTGATCCACGGCGAGCATAGCTGCCGCTCCCTTGCCGACGCGCCCTGGCAGTATCTCTTTCCGACCCTGATGCGCAGCGTTCCAAACGCGCGCTTCATCCTCACTCGTCGCCGCAACTGCACGGACTGGGTAAAGCAGACGGCGAGGCTGCTGCACAACCAGTACGTGGGCAGGCCGGACTGCCGCTCATCCGACAGCCGCGAGCAATGCGCGGCGCGACAGAGGGAGCGCGCCAAGCGTGTGAGCGAGATCAACGCGGACGCGCCGCTGGCCTCGGCGCACAAGCTCTCTCTGCAGAGTTGCTTCTACGGTCTCGGGTGCGGGGCGGACCACCCGTTGAGGCGCACGGCCGCACTGTGGCAGCAGCGCTGCGTTGAGCACGAGCGCTCGGCGCTGCTCACGGCCAAGGCTCTCGGCGTCTCGCTCCTCGTCCTCGACGTCGACCTGCCAGACGCCGAGAAGGCGCAGCGGCTGCAGCGCTTCCTCGCGCCCCAGGTGACACACTACCCGCGCGCGTCGACCCGCGTCCGCAACGGCTTCTCCGCTGCCTGGTTGGACGACGTGCTCTTCGAGACGCAGGTCCAGGACCGTAGCACTAGGACCGGGACCGGGAGTTGGGTGTGAGTGCAGGATGCGGTCGCTGATATCGTTGTCCCTTTGACCCTGCGTGCATGAGGGGCTCTCCGGTCCGCTCAGCGTGGCAAAAAGGGCACGGCACACAGGAGCCGCGAAGAGGCACATTCGCAGGCGCTGCGCGCAGCGCATATGCTAGACGGCGCAATAGCCAAACGTCGGTGCGCAGCGTGTGGCCGCATCTGTTGTGCGACTTTGCGTTTTGGACTTTTCCTGCTTTGCCGATGATGAAGGGGACACATCACTGACGGCCTGCGGGCCTACTTCCGACATCCCCACGACTCCACTGAGAAGAGGGCTACCCAGAGCGGGCGTAATGGCAGGGCACCCCGCACGTGCGGCTGCGGGGCTGTGTGTTGTGTGCGACGCGGCGAGAGAATACACACATACGCTGTCTTGTGAAGTATAGTGTAATTGCCGTATGTAGAGTATCGTCTCAACTATCATTAACTTCTGGCACGCAACCTAGGTTGTAGAGCACTACGTCTTTGCAGTGAAAAGTTTTTCGATGAGGTGGGGGGTCCGCGCCGTGGTGAGCCGATTCCCAGATTCTCCAGATTCCCCCTCGAAAACCGCCCCTTTTAATTCACTGCGGCCGCGTGCTGGCCCGGATTACTTTTCACTCGAAGACATAGTAGTTTTTTGGTGTTACGGTGCCTACACATCACAAAAAATATCCGATATGATATCGAGCTGACCACAGGGTTTGCGGCGATCTCCGATCACTGTCCTACACCAGCGGGCACAGATGGCACAGTGCTCAGTGGGCCGCGGACACCCGTGAATGACCTTTTAAGCGAGAAATGAACGATTTCGAAGAGCGGTGCAAGAAAAAACACGGCCCTCTCAACAATAACTAATTACCGACTCACAGCCCCACGGCTCCCGTCTCGACTCCATCGTAGTGCGCCTGCGGGTGGCTTGGCCACACCCAGCTCTGATGGACCCACTTCTCGTCGACGGCGACGCAGCCCTCGTGCACCGTATACCGGTCCAGCTGGTTGCGGAACCGCATGGCCTTCGGCGACGAGGGCAGGTACCCAGGGAAGAACAGGACGCCCATCCCCTGGGCAGGCTTAACCTCCAGCGTCTCGTAGGCTCGCACCGCGCTGCGTGGCACCCTCGCCACCTCATCCCCGTCGTCAAAGTCGACGTCCACGCTGCCGTCCTCCAGCACCGCCCTGATGACGCCGGGGTAGTCGCCCTCCCCATCCACATCCCGCCCCGTTGACAGGCAACAAACCTTCTCGCCCACCGCGTACTCGAGAGAGCGCTGCGATGGCAGCGACAGGAAGCGCGTCTCGCCGCCAGCCTCGCAGTCGTTGAGGTAGACAAACAGCGTCGCGATGCGGTTCTCGAGGAAGTCGGTGCCCGACAGGACGTCGACGTGGTTTCTGAAGAACTCGTCGCGGCGGTAGCGTGACACCTTGGCGGCCTCCAGGCTGCCGACGGGCACGTTGAGCAGCTTGGCATACCGGGCGTGCAGGCGCTGCGTCTCGTGCCTCGCGACGCGGCACTCGCAGCTGGTCCGGAAGTTGTTGGAGTACCCGCTGCTGGACTGGAAGTGCGGGCCGGCCTTGACCATCAGCTCCTCGCACTCTGCGCGACTAAGCAGATCGCTCACGAGGAAGATCCAAGGGTCTCTATGGATCGCACGCAGCCCCGGGAAGTCAGCGTTGATGGCGAGGTGGTCGCCGTCGGACGCGTATTCTGACAGCGGAATGCTCGGGTACTGCGATAGCGTGGCTTCCTTTTCCAACTTGGACGCAGGCGCCTTGCGCCTCGTCGATTCGCGCTCAGCAGCTGCCTCCGCGGCTTTCTTCCTGGACGCCTCGCCGATTGCTTTCGCGTGCTGTCGGTTGAGGAGCCACGCGGGAACGGCCGCGCTGCCCTCCGAGGCTTCGAGCGACATCGATAAAAAGGAATCGATAAAAAGAAAGCCCGGCTTTTTGCTGCCTTATTACTCGCGTTATCTACCCTTATAAGTCTCTGTGTCTCCTCCAGAGAAGGCCGCCCGCAGGCCCAACGGAATTGGCTTTCTTTGGCGGGCAAGCCAGATGCCACGACGTGAGCCGCTTGGAGCACTCGTTGGAGTGCAGTCATCAACCTCACTGCTCACATCCAGGGTTGTTTGTCAGAGGGTCCAGGCACCAGGGCCGGGGAGCTAAGAAACGCACCCAGGCAGCGGGCCGGATGATCGATCGGCATCGGGCTGCGGGCTTAGAGAGCCCTGACCCTGGGGGGTGCGCGTTGGCCTGTACCCATGTTTCCGGAGAAACCAAAAAGGAAACGAGAGGGTCCCCAGCACTTTTCCGGAAATTTCCAGGGAAACCAAGAGGGTGTTTGGTGCTCCATTCTGGCAACTCTCGAGTTTCCTTCCCTGAGTCTTGAGAGAGCTGGTCTGGGGCATTGGGGCAAAATCTGAGGCGAGACCGAGAGGAAACCGGCAAAATACCGGGTATTTTTCGGGTATACCCGGGGGTTTCCAGGTATACCCGAAAAGTTACCCGGTATTTTGCCGAGAGTTGGCTGATTTTGGGCCCAAACGCAAGAGCGGCCGCACATCGTGCTCGGTACCCCCCCTGCACTTCTAAGCCCGTCCCTGCTGCTAGGGGGGGGGTTCTGATCCCCCCAGCAGCAGAGCGCTGCTGCTGGGGGGGGGGGGTCCCGACCCCCCCAGCAGCAGAGCGCTGCTGCTGGGGGGGGGGGGTCCCGACCCCCCCAGCAGCAGAGCGCACTGGACCCAGCTCCCGCCTCCCGCCGCCCCCCCTCCCGCCCCCTCGGCTCGTGTTTCTGTTTGAGCGGTACGCTCGAGGCGGTTGTGTTCACCGCTTGTCCCCACTCAAGGTTATGGGAGCGGCCATAACAGGTGTTATGGCTGTTATGGCTGGCTGCTCATAACACCCCATAACACCCCATAACACCTCATAACACCTCATAACACCTCCATATCGCTGTTATGGCTGTTATGCCCACCCTACCATAACACTTAACACCTCATATAACACCTCATATAACACACCTTCGTAGCACTCATAATACCTCCCACTGGGTCCACTCTGAAGACAGCCGACCGCGGAGGGGTTTTGTCCCACAGGGTTTTACCCTCCGCGTGAGGATCGGCGCGGCGAGGGGGTAGGCTCTAATTCGCCGCGCAACATTTCACCCCCACAGGACCCCGCCCTCCCCCCCTCATTGGTCCCACCACCCAGAACCCCAACCTTGGCTTCGCACCCCCTCCTTGCGCAGTGTCCCCCGCTATGTGTCGCCGTCTTCGGGGCACGCTATCCTGTGCAGTCAGGGCAAGTGGGGGCGAGGCGCACACCCTCTGGTCTATACTGGTGTGGTTCTGTCCCTAGTCTCGGAGGGGGGCTTGAAGGTAAGAATATTTTATTTTTTCATAATACCTCCCACTGTGGTTGTTATGACAGCCAGCATAACAACCTCATAACAGCTGTTATGACTCGGCCACCTCACACCGTCGAGCCCGGCCCGCTCAGCAGCCTGCTCTAACTCTGCCAGCTCACGTTCGATACTGGTCGGCCCGATCCGGAAAGGAGTGCAGGGCATCAGCAACGCGGAAAGCAGCAACATCCATCCATCGATCGCGCGATGAGCAAGAGTTTTACAACAAACTCCCTCGCACGACACTGGCACGGGACTGGCGCGCACGGAGCTTTAACTACTAAAAAGCGGGAGCAGCCAGCTTCCACTTTTTGAAAACCTCGAGACATGTAGTGGGAAAAGGAAAGAAAAAGGACGTGAGTTAAATTGCGGGAAAGACATACAAGTTAAAAAGGAGGGAAGCGTGCAGAGCTGCAGAGAGTACGAGTTAGAAACGGGAAGCAAATTGCGTGGGGGGGGGGGGGGGATAGGGCGGGTCTTGATTGAGCAATCTGAAGCCATCGCTCAGCCTCAGGAGGCAGGTTGATGTTATTGAATTTAACTTGAGGGCAAAAGAGAAAATATTTGGCGATCGATGCCGAACCTACCTCGCGCGCGGCAGCGCGCGAAGCGAAAATTCCAGCGGCGAGCAGTCCGGCGTGGCCTCTCGGGCCATAACACCGTGGACCCGGGACCATAGCAGCCCATAACGGGCGGCCCATAACAGCCATAACACCCATAACACCCATAACATGTTATGGGCTGCTATGCCCAGAGAGCCATAACACCATAACAATAACTGTGAGTGGGGACAACACCGCGCCTTCGAGCCCAATACACCTTCGTCGTGTCGAGTGCTGGCGTTTTACTAAAGACTTGTGACCATGGTGAGTCTATCTTGTACTACCACACATAGGCGCGTATAGTGAGCCACTCACTCGGGCGTCGCGCCTACATCAATAGTCTCATCACCGAGTGATTGCTGGCCTGTGGCGTATGACCTTGCGCGGATATCACCAACGACGAGCATGCGAAGATATTGAGCACTATCCGATGGACTTGTACAGCCCGCTGTGCTCTCCGCTGTGCCACGGCGTATGATGGGCTGCGAGAGCCGTATCTTCCCTCCTTGAAGCAGAGGCGCCGCGAGGCACGAGAGGCGTAGAAGAGAGGCTGGCGTGCCCCGAACCGCCCGGTTGGCAGTAGGAGGCCCCGCCGGTGAGACCACTGATTTTGATGCCGACCATAAATTCTCGCAACTCGAACGCATGCTACTTACAGCTGCTGTCTGTACAGAGATGCCAGCACCCCCCACAGGCAGAGCGCTGCTGCTGGGGGGGGGGGGTCGGCCATGGGCTTAGGTGTGCAGGGGGGGTACCGAGCAATGTGCGGCCGCTCCAAACCAGCCTCAGAGCCCGTGAAATTGATGCTTTTCGCGGAGTTTCCTCGGGAAACTAGAGAGGAAACGAGAGGGTGCTGTAGAGAAACAAGGAAAGGAAACGAGACGGGGTGAGCGAGGAAACATGGGGTACAGACAGCCTAAGGTGCGCGTTCGCAAGGGAGGTCCTTTTACTTGGGTCTCGGCACGACCTGGTGAGTAATCACCTTTGAGCTCCTTTTACTTTTTTCGAGCTGGCCTTCGATGCAACCGAACAAACGCCGAATGGCAGATCTCTCTCCTCCTCTCTCGCATGACATCGCACCGCACAGATAATCTTTCAGAGACACCCCGCACACCCCCAACCGCGGTTACCATCGCCGCCCCCGCGCGCGGCGCGCGCCCTGCCCTGGCCGGGAGAGAGGGGAGGGACAGTTTGGGACGGCGGCGACGGGTCGACGCGCCCCGGGGGCACTTGGAGCACTTGGAGGCGGAGCACTTGGAGTGCAGTTATCAGCCGCACGCCCAGGACCGTGCCCTAGCCCTGGGGGGGTGCGCAGGACGCGGCGGGTTTCTTCAATTACCAGGGCCTTGCTTTGGCTGCCGCTATGCTGAGTAATCACCTTTGAGCTCCCTGATTTACTTTTTTCGAGCTGGCCTTCGAGGTAACGGCACAAACGCCGCATGGCAGATCTCAAAACACAACAAGCCTGCAAAAAAGAGCTCACCGCGCACCTCAGCCTCAGGAAGAAGCTCGCGCCGCTCGACGCCAACGACACGATCGTCGACACTGACTGCGTCACGAACACCTCGCAGCTCCGCCTCAACACTCGTCCAACGGATTGCCTGCGCAAAGACCAAGTACATTGCCGGCATCACGCCGCCCAATGTCTCGTGCGAGGCTCTCGAGTTTTCGCACAACCGCATCCGCAAGTCCTTTGAGAGCATTGCTCGCCCCGACGCCTCGCCCCAGGCGCTCCGCGACCTCGCGTGGCTCCAGGCACAGCTGCCGACCGAGATGGGCGGGTGCAACATCGAACCGCCTTCTCGCGAGCCGACAGCGACTTCTCCATGTCGCTCCTCAAAAACTGGCGCACCCTCGTCGCCCACAACCCCGACTTCGCCCTCGACGAGGGAGGTGCGTCCAAGTACCCCGCCATCGCCGCAGCCATCGCCAGTTCGCCACCTACGAGTCCGCCCTCTCGGACTGGAAGGAGGTGTGCGAGAAGCGCACCGGCCGCGACAAAACCAAGTACTACACACCGTCCGCGGCGGCTACCTGACTGAGTTCTACCCCAAGAGCGTCTCGCTCCCCGAGCCCGAGTCCCTTCCAGCTACCGACGCGATTCTCAATGGCACTTGCAAATCCACGTACCCGCGGCCGCGGGCGCTTGCTGCCATCAAGAATCACAAGGACTGGTTCGCGCACCAGGAGCTCGTCAAGGCGCGGGATGTGCACGTCAAGAACAACCCGTCCCTCGGAGACAGCGCCGTCAACAACCGCGAAGCCGCGCGCTTCGTCTCCGCCTCAACGCCTTTCGCCGGCAAGGCCCTCGATGTCCGTGTCGACGGCACGTACGCCACCGCCCTCTCCTCCGACGCCCTCCAGGACGAGCTCCAGCGGAAGCTTGGCCTTTGGCTCTCCGCGGCGCTTCCCACCCTTCGGGTCGCCCTCGAGCGGGGCATGCCAGTCGATTTCTTCGGCGACTACCTTTACAACAAGGCCCACCACCGGCGGCCCCACGACGGCGTCCTCGCCGCCTGGGCGGACGCGATGCGCGCCCCGGCCAACGCGCCGGTCGTGCACGGCGACAAGGAGAAACCAGAGCTCACCCGGCAGTACAACGAGGGGTACAAGACTGACCTCGCAGAACCCCATGCAGGGCCGGGAGGATGCGATGAAGTGAATGAAATCAATCTCTGGACGCCCCTCCTCAAGACCTCCTCGACGGGCGTTGGCAACGCCTCGAGTGGCGGCACGCCCGCCTCCGTTGGCCACTCCTACGCCTTCGGCAACACCGAGGAGAAGGCCCGCCGCCTAAACATGGGCTGCAAGGCGCGCGGGCAGCCCGGCCAACCCTTCGACCACAAGAACGGCCACGGCTACGTCAAGGCGCATCGCGGCTTCTACCACGACGCGATCTTTGTCAAGCGCAACAACTTCAACCTGCTGCTCCACGAGACGTTCGGCGGCGGCTTCTCGCCCACCGCCGTTCTCAAGCTGCGCCGCCTCGCGCGCAAAGTCGCGCGCGGCAGCGTCGACCGCACGGCCTACTCGCCCAAGTACTCGCTCTCTTTTATGTCCCACCATGCAGAGCGCATCTCTCTCTCTGTTGCGCGAGGCGTGAACCGCGCCATTCGCTCTCACCTGGCAACCCTGTCTGCACGCCTCGCGCGCGCGTGAACAGGGCTCCAGGCCCCAAATGACGTGTGGGGGCTAGATTTGTTTGGTATTGCTAATCTCTCAGATCTCTCTCCTCTGTCATTCATCCTCTCTCTCGCATGACATCGCACCGCACAGATAATCTTTCAGATATCCCGCACACCCAACCGGTTACCCATCGCCGCCCCCGCGCGCGGCGCCGCGCGCCCTGCCCTGGCCGGGAGAGAGGGGAGGGACAGTTTGGGACGGCGCGCTCGGGTTTCTTCAATCCCCGGTGGGCTCCTCCTTGGGGCTTCTGGCTGCTGCTATGCCCTCGCTGATCCCTTGGGACGACGCGCCGCCCGCTGCCTCGGCGGAGGGCCACCCGGTCCTCGTCGCGGGCGCCGCTGCGCAGGAGGCGAAGGAGATATCGTGGGGCGGTGCCGTCGGGCTCGCCTCGCTCATCGGTCAGACCCTCCACGCCGGCTCCGAGCTTCAGGATGCGGCGACGCCGTCCTACTCGACGGCGCTTGGCGTCGAAGGAACGGCCGCCACCCTCCTCGACGACGGCGTGTCGGGCATGCTGCTGCACCGCGTCGAGGCGGCCGCGACGAGCATCGTGCCTGAGCCGCCAGCGCCTCCGCCGAGCCCGCCATCTCCGCCGCCGCCGGCGCCGCCGCCTCCGCCGCCGGAGCCACCAGCACTGCCATCGCCGCCACCCTCTCCGCCCGCGCCTCCGCCTGCGTGCAACGGCCTCGCCTCCCTGGCCAAGGTCTCGCTCGGCGCGTGCGCGTCCCTCTCGCTCGTGCCTGCAAACGAGCGGTCAAAGCTCGGTGCCGACGCCGTCACCATGCTAGCCGTCTCGCTGGCGGAGGCGCCGGGCTTCCGCGAGCTCAATCTCGCCGGCAACTCCATCGGCGACGCCGGCGCCGCCTCCGTCGCCGCCCTCCTCGCCAAGCCCTCGTCGATCGAGCGCGTCTCGCTCGCGAGCAATGCTATCGGAGACCGGGGCGCGAATGCGGTCGCCGACGCGGCGATGAAGGGCGGCGCGCCGCTCGTCCACCTCGACATGAGCGGCAACCGAATCTCCGACGCCGCCCTCGCCCGCCTCGCCGCCGCCCTCGCCGCCCGCCCTACCCCGCTCTGCCCATCGGCTGCGGAGGCAGCAGTCTTCACCTCGTGCCCCACGCCGGGCGAGGCGGCGGGCGGCGCGGGCGGGGGCGAGGTAGGTGGGGGCGCGTTCGGCGCTCTGCTCATCGGCGGCGCCCCCGCCGGAGGCGCCACGCACGGCGGCACTACACCGGCTCAGACGGCGCCCTGGTTGGGGCCAGCCGCTGCGGTGGCCGGCGGCCGCCACCCGCTGATAAGTTCGGGCCGATTGTGCCGGCGGGCACCTGTCGAGATATGGACAGGCCTGCCGGCGATGACCAGCACGGCTCCGGAATTGCTCTCGTGTACCGCCTTTAGCTGCATGCCCGACTCGTGCT